AATTTCTACTTTAAAAGTGAATTGACTGGTTTAAGTCACTGATAATGAACTACAAAGTTTTCCACAGCTTCCGTGTTAGGTTACCAAGCAGTAATTGCCTAAAATAAAAACAGGATCTGTTTTTCGTTTTTAATTTGATCCTAATTTCATAGCAAGCATCAGCAGACCATTGTCTAGGTCACAAAAACCTGCCCCTTCACTGTTGCCCCATCAGCTGCAGCCAACTGAGGAACACAAAGAATGAACGATCCCTCCTTTGCATGCCTAAAAGGCAAACTACAGTGAAGGCAGATTGGAAGGCTATTAAGTGGTAAACACTTCTCCAACTTTTGCACAAGTCCTTCATGTCAATGGCAGAATATTTCCCCTTTATTTAGTTGTTTATTTTGTTGCTAGTCCTGCAAAGCTTTTCTGTTGCTTTGACTGCCTTGAGATTTTTCTCATTTATTTTCCATTACTCCTTTCACCCTCAGCAGAAGTGTTTTGTTTTCCGTTGGGTCTTATTTAAACTGATACTCTTATGGTGGTGTCATTCTTTCACAATGCACATCAATACGTGCGTATGTGTGCTGAGAGAAACCCTTACTTCAGCTCCTTTCAGAAGAATGAAGATAGCCACTGCAGAGACACCCATACTACCTGGCAGCTGTTTTGGATCAGAGATCTGAATGCTTTTCCCAAGCTTATAACTTCTGTCAAAGAACGAGTACTACACTGAGCTAATTACACTTGAATTATAAGTAGGACATCCAGAAAGCATTGCACCAAACCCATTGGATTTAATGTCTTGCGTCTTCACTAGCTCTGGAATTTCTTTACTGTTTCCCTTTCATAGTGGAGACCACTCCTGTGTCACAGGTTGTTCTCTAGTGACACTGTATAATATTTGTTGAATTGAATATTTTTTTAGTAATAAGGACAGTTGTGCTACTCCCACCACACACACTTCATCCTAAATGTTCTTTGCATGTTTTGCGTATGTATTGCTAATACTATGTTTACATTAGAAATGGTGGCTGACGCTTAACTATACATTTTCAAAGTGGTCAAGGCTGTGCCTCATGTTAAAGAGTATGGAAGTCATACAGCTAAAACCCCAGGAACCGCTTTGAAAATAATATAATAGGTGTTATCATCTTTGCAGCTAGCACTGAGATAAGAGTAAATAAATCTAATCTTTCAGGGCATAAGATGAACACCTATGGAGCACAAAAAGGCATTTTCTTATCAATCAACCGTATACATCATTATAATATGAAGGATAGACTCATTCTGTGTAGGGCTGTCTGACATGTCACACATGTTACGGGTTTATACTGCAGCAAGAATACTGAACCTATGGCCAGCACTGCTGTGTGAGAGGTTACATTCCCCACCTCCAAAGCTATATTCTGTCCACCCTTTCTTTTATTATCTACTTTTTTTAGAGTTTTTAAAGTAAAACAGTAGGGTTTTGAATACTTTTTTAGTAGCTTTTTTTTTAAATATAGCTAGATAGGAAATGGCTGAGATTTACAGGAAATGGATTAAATTTACCTTTCATTTGATTCTTCCATATTGGACTTATTATTTTAATGTGGGGGAACTGCAAGCATGATCCTTCACCTTTCCTTCCTTTTAAGCTTTCCTACATTTCTTTGTTTTACAGCTAAATCCCTGTTTTTCTACCTGTTAATCCTTTTTTTCACTGTATGCTAACAAGAAATCCAATTCAGAACTAACAGATAACAGAAAAGAGTTGAAATTCAAAGCTCTTTGTTAACTTCCTTTTTTAGTTTGAAATTAATTGGTTTGAACAAATAGAAACTTGAGTCACACATAGTGCTTTTATTTTTAACTAAAAAAGAAGATCCTTCTTTTTCATTTGGAGAAAAAAAGGAATATTTGTCCATCACAGTGCACATACAAAACAGGAAATTGGAAAAAAAAATCCCGAGGTTGCTATAGCTAATTGGAAAATAGCATTTATTCACCTGAGGGAAAAAATAGCAAAAACTATAGACCTTTTATTTCTGCCTATAGAGGTTACAATTTGATTGTCACAAATTTCCCTTATTTTGTGTTGACCGTACATCACAGATAGTAAAATCTTAATGTCAAGGATGAAAACATAACCCTAGGAGACACAGGATTCTACATTAAAATTAAAATACTTTATCCTCCAGAAGAAATATGTAAAATATAAGTTTTTTCAAGAAAATAAAATGTATTTTCCAAAATGGAAGATTTTTTTTTTAAATAATTCAATATTTCAAATTGAGTTTGGAATTGAAATCGAAAGACTGAAGTTTTTTTAAAAAATAAAAATGTTTCTGAAAATTCTGATTACTTATTTTCAGGCTTACAAGAAATTGCAGAAACAGTCTGTGAAAACAAATCTCAGAAACTTCTTTTAGAAGTAAAAAAGCTTTCTCATCCTGCTCTTTCTATATACTGTAGAGAATCTCTCCTCACACTGGTATGAATTTTTACTATTGAACTCACAATATTTTCATTTATTCAGTTATTTGATTCTCTGATCTAAGTGTTTTGTAAAAAAAAAGAAAATTCCTTTTACAGTGCATATAGCAGACTTGCAGTATGGGTTTCAGGTAGTCAGTAGTATTAAAGCTCTTTTTCTGATGTCTGCAACATAGGTTACTTTTCTCCTCCAAAAGCTGGGGAAGGAAGTACTGCTATGATAATATCTATTCCAATACACAGAAAAGTGGCCTATGTATTTCTCACAGAGCAGCTATTCTGGTTTCAGAACATCTTCCTAAATCATGTTGAAGCCATGGCACACCAGTTCAAGTTCTGTCCACATTTTAAATTAACTGAGGTTTGTTTGTGCATACAGTCTGGAGCTTTGAAGACATTTGAGTAGTAAACCAAACTACATGTTTTAGGACACACATACAGAGAAGATTCATCATATTTTCTTGAGAAGGAAGGCTACAAGAACAATTTTATGGAAATTTAGTGTCATTCTGGCCTGAAAAATTGACCTTCAAAAAAATCCTTAAGGACACACACTGTTTTTACAAGGACTCAGCAATAACTCACTAAAAAAGATGATTGTGTTCCTAAGTTGTGCATTAAAATGAAAGCTAAGCATTGATTTCTTAATAGAATGCAGACAATATTGGTTGATATATCAACTTCTTTTTAGAAAAATACAGGACTTAACACAAACATACATAAAGCTTTAGACCCAAAGTCGCATGCAAGTGAAATCCAGACATTCTTAACTAAGAAAACTTTTCATTGCAAGCTGTTCTCCCGTCCAAAACAACTGATTATGCAGGGATATACCAGCCCACTAATTTCCAGACATAAAATAATAATAATTACACTGCTGCAGAATATACTATCAGGTAACATTCATTAGGTGACACTTTTAAGTGAAATTTCACCAGATTGAATTATAACCCATGGTGGGCTTATTTTAAAAAGCAATATATTTCATTAAGTATTGCCTAGCAAAATTTTGTATAATTTACAAATATTGCCCTATTATTTCTTAAAATTCTACTGCAGCCCATCCACCTTTTCTCTGTTCAAGCACGATATCTATTGTTGAAATGAGAACAGATTTATTTTGGCCAAAGACAATGAAAATTCAAAAACATTTAAATTCTAGGCTTCTGCCTATGCCCGAGACATCTTTTAGAAATGTGAAAAAGCATTTGGAAAGATTGTAAGTCTCTTTCTACTTAAAAAAGTGCACCTAAACCCATTATGAAAATCCATCAAAGATCAACTCATATTACTTTTGAAAATCATGGAACTTTGGTTTTATGCACAACTAGGCATGGAGCAAGAGGTGGAGCTTCAGCATCTGACAGAGAACTGTCAGCTGAGTGCAGTTAAGAAAGTAATAATTCTACTCAACCTACTCAAACTGTTCGGTGCTGTCTGGCTCATACCAGCACCTTGGTCTGTACGCAGAAACAAACAGGTACAGCTATAGGTCATTGAATGTCAATGAGAGATGCTCCCACTGGCCCCATCTATTCATATTTTGGAGCCTCATTTAGTGCCTGCTGAAGCTTGTGTCCTTTTCAAAGATATCTTGGGGTACCCTTATTGCAGCTCGCTTCCCCTTGATCCACATCAGAGAGAAGTTTCTCTAGAAAACCCCTGAGCGAATAGAGGCTTTAGATGGCATCACTGGCACTGAGGAATGGATGAAGGCACCAGTCTGATGTCAGAACTGAGCTGTCACATATGTTCTGCTGCAGATACGTACGCTAGAGCATAGCTATCCACCTCAAATGTGAATCCAGGTCCAGTGCTCCCTGTGGTAAATGGAGTAATGGGATCTTCCGGTTGAGAGCCTTTAAATAAACACAATGAACTGTTCATAGCAGCACCCTACAGCCTCATTCAAAAGTTTTTGTACAAAAAGTGAAATGTTCCTTATTCATCTGCTGGAGGGAAACTCGTGGAGGGAAAATATATTTACCCACAACTCAACTGTGTTTATAACACCAGGGAAATCAGAAGGAAAGTATTTAGAAAGAGTAGATGTGCTATAGACCAGATTTGGTTTCAGAACCAATGCAGCTGATTTTCCCTTCTTCTCATCACAATGTGCCATGCAATATCCAGATGATGTTAGCAACGCCATCAGCCTGGATGTTAGCCAAGGCGTCCTCTCCACTTTTATTTCTTTTTTTCACTGTGCATGAATCACTTCTATTGGTGAAAAAAACCAAACAGGATATGGCAAAAAGAAATAAAAGCATTATTAAATGTTTTTGTAAATGGAATATATATTGTCTGCTGCTTGTCATTTGATACTGTATCCAAGTGCACTAAAAAGAGTAATAAAGTGCTGATGCAACGTGGAATTTTTTGTAATGGAAATAGAATTATTTTTAAAGGCCCTCCTATTATAGATTAAGATATGAAAAAAGGAACTGACAGTTTTACAAGAGGAAATAAAATATAAGCCCCCCCAGCCACAAAATTTAAAATCTTTGGTATGTAAATAATATGCTCTGTTCTTTTGATAGATCTGGGGAATTTTAGCGGTCGGACAAGAAGTGCTGTATCTGTACGTGAAGGTCAAGGAGTTGTTCTGATGTGTTCCCCTCCACTTCATTCGCCAGGTACAGTAGGCTGCAGCTTTTTTGCACACTGGTCCTTTACAGTATGCTCATTATTGGATGCTCAGTATTTTAGATACAACTTGTATTTGATTGCAGAACTTCAAAAATGAAATATCCACCATTCTGTTGACAGTTTTTGGAGTATCAAAGGAGTAATTAAAGCTCGTATACTGCAAATGACACTGAGTAGCAGCAGAATTTCTGTTACAAGATTGTCTTATTCCCAGTATAAAACTTGAATGTAACAACAATAGTCTCCATGCCACCAGTGGTGAATATGTTGCCTTGAGGTCACAGAAGACTTCTTTTAGAGTTTAGAAGCCTTCAGAAATTGTTCCAAATGTCACTGTCAAGATACAGTTGTTGAATACAAATTGTCTTTAGTTTTCAGTAGTACAGCCATGATTTTGGTTGCTTCCTTTTGCTGTATAGCTTAGTTTCCAGTACATCTGCATCATTGCGAGAAGTCAGAAATATCATAAATACCATGAAATGCCTGTGGATTCCCAAATGAAAGTGTAGATATTCCAGAGAGGTTACATTTTTGTTTTTCAAATTGGC